AAATAAATAAATAAATAAATAAATAAATAAATAAAAATTAAGGAAAAAAAACTGACAGAAGCTGCTATTTATATTATTATTGATAAAAATCAACATCAACTAAGTCACTTCATTGACCTAACTTAATATTGATCAAAATTGAGGAACTTTTGTAATTTCCTTTCCCTAATCATAAAAAGAAAACCATTTAACTTAACTAGGCAGTAGGCTATAAAAAAGAAATTCTGTGAATTTTACTACAGCCAAATTCTGCTACTTAGGGTCACTTCTGGGACTCAGCTATCTCAATACTTGAAGTGGGATAGGGTAGCCAACTGGGAGATATGATGGTATAGTTGTGTCCCAGCCTTGGAGTATAAGTCCGTAGCAGCCTGTTTTCCTAAGCTAAACCTGGTCTTTATATTTTTTTGAAAAATTATTTTTTATTTATATTAGTACATATTTGCAACACAGAATGATTACATTCATCATGAGTTGATACATTTCAACAACCCATCTTCTTTTTATTTTCCTTCTTCCCTCACCCTCTATCCCTTGGTCCCCTTTCTTTTCCCAAAAGTCTTCTACTTTTTTTATGATTGAAAAGGTCTTTGTGTTTTTAGAATGTTTCTCTTTTTCAAAAAAAGTGGGAGACTATGCAACAGAAACAGTTAATAAACCAAAAGTTTAAAATATATTATCTGACTCTTTACAGAAAAAAAGGTTCCAACTCCTGTCTTGGAGATATCTGTGCATAGTCTGAATTAGCAGCAATCTTAGTAAAGGGCTGGCTTTTGGCCAGGCTCAAATAAAACATTTATTTGTTTTTAAAATTACTTAGGCTTTTTTTAATGGGCAGCAGTAGTTTTGATCTCTGTTTTCATTGTAATAGAAATAATAAAGGACTGAGACAGAATGTCCCGTTTAAATTTTTTAAGTAGCCTCTATTATCGGTTTGGTTTGGTTTGGTTTGGTTTGGTTTGGTTTGGTTTGGTTTGGTTTGGTTTGGTTTGCGGAACCGGGTATTGAACTCGGGTCCTTACACTTGCCAGGCAAGCACTTATTCTACTGAGCTATCTCCCCGGCCCAGCCTTTATTATCGTAATAGTGGAATTCTTTGTACGTGGTAATGAATATTGGAAATTTATAGAAATTCTCTCTACTTTCTGTTTATAAAATTATAATTTCAGGAAAATGGAAAAGCACCTGATGGACAGACAATAGCAGGGGAAGTAATGGGCCCACAGAGACCTAGATCAAACTCTGGAAGAGAACTAACTGATGAGGTAGAATTTGAGACTTGTTTATATTATTGTTATTAAAGAAATAAAATATAACAATTATAATGTAAGATTAGATAAAGTTCTGGAGGTGGATGGTGATTGAACAGCAGTGTGAATATAATTAATGACCCTGATGTATATAGTTAAAAATGGTTAAAATGGTAAATTTTGTGTTATGTATCATTTACCACAATTCAATATTTTCTTTATAATTAACATTTAGTATTTATTTATATGTATGGGGTACAATATGATTTGATACCTAATATAGTATTTAATAATCAAATAAGGATAATTCGCATTTCCATCTTTTTAAGCATTTATCATTTTCATGTTAGGAACCTTTGTACTGGTTATTTTAAAATATATAACAAATTGCAGCTAGGTCAAAAAATAATCATAAAATGAAGATTACCTTTATTTTAGGTTTTTATATATGTTGCATTTTGTAGCTCTGACTTAAACTTGCCCTTTCATGCAGTTATATACTAGAATAAATGCACATGTGTTGGTCAGCAAGGTATTTTTTCAAAACAATGTATTTTTTATAATTACTGTACTTTAGAAAGCAGCTTGCCAGTTCCTTGATTTATTATACATATTACCCTTACCCAGAAACTACATTCCTATGAATACACCCAAGCAAAATGAATACATGCACACAAAAATTGTGCAGATATTCATACCAGCATCATCCGTCATTGTCCAAAGTGGAAACAACTTAACTATGCATACAGATGAATGGATAATATTTCCATTCGTCTGTTAAAAGGAATGAAGTATTGATGTATGCTACAACATGGCTGAACCTTGAAGACAGCATGCTGAAAGAATCCAGACACGAAAATCTACATATTACATTATTAAATTTATATGAAATGCCTGAGAAGGGCAAATCCATGGACTGAAAGTAGATTAATAATTGCCTGAGGCCAGAAGGAGGGGGAAATGAAGTGTGACTGTTCTTGAGGTTTCCTGTTGGGATGATATAAATATTTAATTTGGTGCTAATGGTTACACAATTCTGAATGTCTTAAAAAGCACTGAATTATATTCTTTAAGTGCATTTTTGTGGTATGTAAGCTTTATCTCAATAAAAGTTAAAAATCATTTGTGCAGTATTGAATGTACAGTATCTAGAAAGTCCTTCAATTTTGAAGAACCTTGTAGACTCAGAAATATAGTTATGTACGTGTTATTTTTACCTCAGGAAATTTTAGCTAGTGTAATGATTAAGAACCTGGATACTGGAGAAGAAATACCTTTAAGTCTTGCTGAAGAGAAACTGCCAACAGGTATTAATCCTCTAACGCTACACATCATGAGAAGGACAAAGGAATATGTAAGGTATGGCCTAATGTTTTATCATGTACAGAATTTCAAGTAGTGAAGATTTCTGTTTATGAACTATTGCAATACCTAATTTAGATTTGGAATTAAAATAGTTAATATGTATATTCTTCAATTTGTTTTCTCTTACAGCTATACAATTACTTAGAGAAAATAGATAAATCTTAAACTCAGAGTATTAGTTTTCCTTTAAACATGGTTTATATTACACTACCAACAACATTAAAACATAACTGAGGCTAACAAGCCATGTGGAGCAAACACCCAATCTTCTGAAATCTTGCTTTTATAAGTGTTTGTACTGGTTTTGTAGGGACAGAAAACAGCTTTCAAGTAAGGTGATTGACTCTACTATAAAATATAGGTAAATACAAGGTGAAATTTCTAGAAATGTAAGAGCCTCTTTATTAAATATACTGTAGGTGTCTATGGTGAATAAGGAAGAAGACATTTGCTAGGTATTTTTTAACATGTCTATATAGTGCATTTTCCCAGCACAAAACTTTGTTTGTGATAGGTTTTTCATAAATTACTAAATTTCAATCACTTAAGTTTTTTTGTATTACCTTAAAATTTATTCTTCAGTCTTTAAAGCCATTAAATTCTCAGGAACATCATATAAGCTAAAATCAAATAAAGATTATTACTATAGTTCTTTTCTTACCCTGATTAGCTGATTATATAGTAAGAATAAAGAAATTTTTGAAAAGTAGCAGAAATTGTTTCCTTTAAAACAACTTTCCCTTCTTGTAGTAATGATGCAGCACAGTCAGATGATGAAGAGAAGTTACAGTCTCAGCCAACAGATACTGATGGTGGAAGATTAAAACAAAAAACGTAAGTTACAGTGCAGCATTTTTCTTTTTTCTTTTCTCTTTTGTTTTTTTGCTTTTTTGTTTTTTGAGATAAGGTCCCGTTATGTAGCCCAGGGTGGCCTCCAACTCACAGCAGTCATCCTGCCTCAGCTTCTCAGGTGCTGGGATTACAGGTGTACATCACCTCACCCAACAATATTATTTTACATTTGTAGTGTTTATTAGAAAAATATGAAGACTGCCATACTGTTTTAAATCTATGCTCTCTCTCTGGTTTATATGTTTGTTAATCACCACGCTTAGGCAGGCACAGGGGACCATGGTTAGATCCAATGAGGTATCTCACTGGCACCTTATTTATCTTTCTAAACTCAACTATGTGTGATTCTTCTGGACTACTCTAATTCATAGCAACTTTTCCTTTCTCAATTTCTGTAATACTTACAGTCCATACAGCTTACTTTTTCCCTCTATCATTATTAAACTATTTTCCAATCTAAAAAGTAAAAGAAGTACGTGTTAAACGATTAAACCATATGCTACAAAAGGATTTTCATCTTACTGTCTATTTCCCCCACAAATGTCTAACACAGTGGTAGGTATATAAATTGTACTTACTATACACAGTCACCTGATTGCCAGTAATTCAATCCAAAGCCCTACCTTGAATTCTGTACTTCAGTCTGATATATTTTCCTAGTGTGTATCAAAGGAAGCACTGAGAACTTTTAGAAATGATGTTCCCTCAGTGAAGGTAAGTGCTAACACCTCAGATTTTTGAAATTTGGCTTCCAAACACTGGCAGGTATCACAACCTGAGAATTACAAATTATTCAGGAGGGGGCTGGAGAGATGGCTCAGTGGTCTAAAGCACCTACTTAGAACAAGCTTGGCAAAGCATCAGGGACCGCGGTTCAATCCCCCAGCACCACATGCCAGCCAGTCCCGCCCCCTGGTGGGCTGAGCTGGCCACACACACACACCACTCTCTCTCTCTCTCTCTCTCTCTCTCTCTCTCTCTCTCTCTCTCTCTCTCTGTCTGTCTCTCTCTCTCTCTCAAATAAATAAAATAAAAAATAAAAAAATTAAAAAAAAAAAAAACAAATTATTCAGGAGAAGGATAAATATATGCAGGAGAGCTGCCACATAGTCCATGCATTAAAGTTCATTTTTCAAACAGAAAACCTCTTTAGGTTTATTCAGTCATTATCCTGACTTTGTACTTTGACGAAATCTGACCATCTAATATCTGAGAACAGAGCAAAATAGAAGCAGCAAACTGTAAGCATGTAAGTTGACATAAAATATCAGATCACATTCTTTTTGAAAGATATCAGTCAAAAATGATAAAAGGATTCATGCAACACAACTGTCTGTACAGCAGCACTTTCTCATGCCATGATAAACAGAACAGAGTCATGCTTGCACTGAAAGCTGAGGTAAAATGATGAGGCTGCTAATGGACAGAAGAGATTGACCCTGGTTTCTGGCTTCCCTGGATCCTGCCTCTGAACTTCAAAGACTGAAGGGAAAGCAATAACATGGCCCACTTGCAAACTTCTTGCAAGAGCATAAATTAAAGAACAGAAGAAATGGTAATAGTGACCCTGTACATCAAGGAAATAATCTGACCAAACATTAGCTGTCATTCTTTTCTTTTTTTAATATACTTTTTAAAGTTTCTAATACTAGGAGAAAATATCATACCATGTCTTTTAAATAGATTATAAGTCAAATATACAGTATGAATCTTAAAACAAAAATTAAGATTAAGCAATATTCAGAAAATTAAATACTAATTAATTAAAAATTAAATGTTTCAAAACAATTGAACTACGAAAAAGTTTTCATGATAGTAAAGAATTACTAAGAATAAAACATACGATAAATACTGGAATGACAAATAAATGACCAGCACTTCTAACAGTTTGAGGATAGGATATCACACAAAATTCTAGTGTGTCGTAGACATGAATAATGTCCGTAACACTTACTGGTGTCCAGGTGTCACTTGTGGGACTGAGCTACTGCTATTTCCTGGATATCCACCCTATAGACCCAGACAGAATCATGACCCATAGTGTGCAGGAGAAGTCCATTTGTAGAGTATGCTGATGGAAATATCTTGCTGCAGTATACAAAAGAATAACTGAAAGACTGCTTTTATATACCTCTTATTCTCCTGTGTTTAATTGTTTGCCCTATTTGGTGGATTCTTTCCATTCTCATTAATGGAGTTGTGGTCATTTTGCTTCCTTTCTAGAACATCTTTTAGTAGTCTGTGTAGGTTTGGCTTTGTCATCATGAAATTCTTAAGTTGTTCTTTGTCAGAAGTATTTCACTTCTCCATTATACTTAAAAGAGAGTTTTGCAGGGTATATCAGTCTGGGTTGCAATTTGTTTTCTTGCAAGACTTGAAGTACTTTGCTCCATGCTCTTCTTGCCTTGATGGTTTGTGAAAAGAAATCTGCCATTATCCTGATGGGGTTTCCTTTAAAAGTGATCTGTTTCTTTTCTTTAGCGGCTTTTAGTATACTGTTCCTGTGCTGAATTTCTGGGATCTTGATTATTATATGTCTGGGTGTGGTTTTAAATAGGTTGATGTTATTTGGAGTTCTATATGCTTCGGTTACTGAATGTCAGATTGTTGCCCCATATTTGGGAAATTTTCTGCTATTACTTCCATCCATATTCTTTTGGATGTTAGTTTTTGTTTTTTTGGTGCAACTGGGGATTGAACTCAGGCCCTTGCGCTCGCCAGAGAGGCACTTATTCCACTGAGCCATCTCCCCAGCCCCCATCCATATTCTTTTTATATCATTTGTATTGACTCCTTCCTTCTCATTGATGCCTATTAGTCTCACATTGTTCATCTTTGCATCATCTTGCAGGTATTGAATTATTTTTTCCTGCATCCTAGTTGTTTTTAAGAGATCTTTTTCACTAGCTGCAGTGGTGTCTTTAAGGTCTGAAAGTCTATTCTCTTTCCTTCAAATGGTTTTGCCAGCTTGTGATTGAGGTTTTAAATTCCTGTATATCACTTTGGATCTGCTTCATACATTGTTTCTTTCCTATATTGCTTATTCAAGGATTCTATCATTTTTATATTCTGCTCTATTTTTTTTATCAGTGTCTTCCTTTGAAGCACTTATTCTTTCACTATAGTTATTTCATTTTTTACTTCAGAAATTATTTCTTTTCTGATTTCCTCTATATCTTTCTGTAGTTGTTTCTTTACTTCAGACACTATTATTTCAGAAATTTCAGGTGTGTGATTTCTAATTTGTTCTATGCTAGTGTCTTCTGTATTTGTTCTGGGTGGGCTCGAGTCATGAGACTGTATTTTGTTCCTTCTCTTTGTCATTTTCTGCAGCACTGTCCTCTGACCATTGGTGTAGAACTTAGAGTTACTACCTTAGCACCAGGTCGGCTCTACCACGTTCAAACTCGTCCAAGTGGGTGTGGCTTGGATTTGGTTGCTGTGCTCCACTTCTTCCTGTTGCAGCCCTTGGAGGTGAACCCTCTGTGCCACTCTGGCAAGATGTTCTGTTCCTGAATCAGCTGGGTGGGTATTGCCTCTGGCCTCTTTGCAGGGAGTTTTGCTGCAGGTTCCACGCTGGACCTAGGCTCTGGGTCGAATCAGGATCCGGGTGGCCCCATGTCGTCTCACTCAGAACTAGTTAGCTGTCATTTAACAAGACATAGAAAAATGTGTTTTAGAAATAATCTCATCTAAAATAATTAAAACATTTTCTTGGCTTTTAAAATAAAAAATCTTTGAGGTTATAGGTAATAGAGACCTTATATTTAGAAATGGTTGTTTTATAATCTTTTGATTATCAAAAGTAATAACAAAATTGTATAAAATGGAATGTGAAAATTTCTTATAATCTCACCTCCAAAAATAATCTTGTAAAGTTTTTTTTATGTAATAGTTTGATGCATTGTAGAAGTTTTATTCTTTTTTAATCATTTATTTATTCATTTATTTATTTGGTACAGGGCTCACTATGCAGCTCAAACTCATAGTGATCGTTCTGTCTCAGCCTCCCCAGTGCAGGGATTATAGGCTTGCACCACCATGCCCAGTTTCAGTAGCTGGCATGTGGTACCAGGGTTTGGACCTGGGTTCTTCTGCTTGCCAGGCATGCACTTAGACTCCTGGGTGATCTCCCAGCCCCAAGAAGTTTTTTTTTTTCTTCTAAAACTGGGATTATCTTGTTTCATTTTTTATAAAATTTTATCGGCACATAGTTATAGTACATAATGAATAATAATTCAATTTGAAGAGTTGGTACATGTACATAACATATCTAAATTCTTTTTACGTCCCCTTCCTTCCTTCCATCTCTTGGTCCCACCATTTGCAAAAAAAAATCCTATTGCCTACATTTTATTTTGCTTTTAATTTATACTTTCTCTTATATGGGAAACCATATGATATTTATACTTTGGAAAAATCTTCATATCAGCACCAACAGCAAATATATTGAAGTCTTTCTATGCACCAGGCATGCGTGTTAGGTGCTGGTTACACAGCATTTAAGAAAACAATTCCAGTCTCTGCCCTCATACAGCTTCCAGATAAATGGAAGAGATAGACACTAATTGTGTCGTTACATAAATGAATCTAGGTACATTTATAGTGATCACTATAAAAAGAAAACTGGTATTTTGGCATATACAACAAGAAACTAGTCTTTTTGAGAATGAGGCATTTGATCTGAGACCTAAAAAGTGAATAGGAATTAGCCAGGGGAGGGGTGTTTCAGTTGTAAATAACTACAAGTGCAGAGGCTTTGAGTAAGAGTTTTAACACATTTAAAGAACTGAGATTTGTCTCAAATTTTCTTATATTCTCTAAGTTTTTAGCCATTTTTCTATTAAGGACATTTGTTTTCTACCTCTTACCTATTCTAACCACTAATAGTAGTCAGCCTCATATGCAGGTATAAATAGCATAGTAAAATTTTAAAACTGCTGCCTACAACATCTTGAGATCTCGTGAACTGGTAGAACTTT